TAGTTAATCTTAAGTACCTTTAAATTTATTCTATATTATTTATTTATATTAATCCACCATCCCGTATCCAAAGAGGCTATACAATGCACATCTATCCAGCACACAGAAGTATAGTCCTATAGTCGGATAGACTTAGGATAAATGTGAATTTTCTTCAGAAAGCTGTTGACTGGAAACCTTCCTGAATTAAAAAGGAAGAAGAATTACTACTCTTTTGGTTTCTCTATTTTCTTGACTTGAATCAGAAGAACAGTTTGATTTGCTGTAACAAATACCGGTACCAAGTGCAACCAGACGATTGCAAGTGGAAGCGATTTTGGACATCTTCATGAACTGAACTTTGTTACCGTATATCATTGGAACTCGCTGTTTTGTCGTATATTCTGAACTCTATTTTTGTTGGACTTCTTGTATTTATTATTATTATTTTCCTTTCTACAAGCGTACGCTGCATTGCCGACGGTCTCACGTGAGTAGTTTGTTAGGTTAGGTTAGGTCCAATTTATAAGTCCCTATTTGTAATCCCCATTGCCCAATAAATCATTATTAAGTATATAACTAGAAAAGGTTCCTCTTGTTTTATTTGTGGCCATATATGTGAACATCTACCGACTGAGCCTGCGCATAACCCCCCCATTCGAAAACTTCGAAGCAAAAAAATTTAGGCTAGACTTATGCTTATGCTGTCACGGTTAACGTGTATTCGGGAATCTAAAAAGCAATATTTTTCAGTGGGCGTGGCCACCAAAAATAAATTCAACTCCCCCTATATGTAAACATGGAACCCGAGCCCCCACGACAAATTAAGTGACGGATTCGCTTACTTCAAGTAGTGGACACCCGCTGCATAAAATTTTTTTATGTAGCGGGTGTCCACTACTTGAAGTAAGCGAATCCGTCACTTAATTCGCCGTGGGGGCTCGGGTTCCAGTTACAATTCAATGAGAAAATGCAATTCGTGAGAAAATACTCCGGCACAAAAGTTGACATCAACCTTCCTGAAGCAGAGATTTCGATGAACATGAAGATGTTCCGAGCTCAAAGAAACCTCTACATATCTGGATTTGCAGTCCTTCTGCTGTGGGTGTTGAATAGAATAAGCACGTTGATCTCCATTGAAGCCACTCTCACAGCCTCGAATGGAGCCTCTCTAAAGCAGGCCCGTGGGGCCTCTGAGCAGGTCCAGAAACTGATGAAAGAAATAGAAGAATTGCAAAAGGATGGCAAGCGTAAATTGTCGCGTTCCAATTCAATGGCGGATATTCCAATTCAATGGCTGAAATCTACTAAAGAAGAGGTTAATCACTACCCTATTAAGATAGGTGGCAATCCCTTTCACATGACAAATATATACATGATGCTCTACATAAACTAGTCTCATGATGAGGCTTATGGAGTAGGGTTTTGTCATGAGAAAAAAATCTGGAATCTGACAGGATTTGAACACAGGCGTCTGGGATTGGAAGGCACGCATCTTAACCACCAACATATTACAATCCACTCCAAAAATTTTGGAGGATGAAGTTACTTATCAACCACCAATAAGCTCTACCGAAAAACCATAAATTTTGTGACATGAAACTTTCGCGAATTTATTACATCGGCCATTTTTGCGACATTAAAGTTTCGCAAATGGCAAAAGAAAGGTTCAAAGAATAGAAGGAATGCAAATATTTATATATTTACTAATTGGCGAGGAAAATATTTGTTCTAATTGTCAGTTGAGAAACCTAACATAATCTAGAAAGTATATTTAATTAAACTTTAGCTCAACGCAGACAGCGTTGCTGTAAAGTAATAATAATAATAATAATAATAAAACAATAATAATAATAATAAAAACAATAATAATAATAATAATAAAACAATAATAATAAATATAATAATAATAAAAACAATATAAATAAATTTAAAGGTACTTAAGATTAACTAAAAAAATATACAAAAATACAC